ACTGAACCTTTCAAAATACTCACCTCATCTCCTCATTCCCTTACAGCTGATGACCCACTACCCTGCACATGTAAATAAAAAGCACTGACCTTTTTATTTCTGTCTCCTGGTCTGGTTCTTAGTTCCGCTGACTGTTGAACAATTTTATAAATCATATCACTGCTGGCAGTGTCAGAGGGAGTGGAAAGGTCCGAAGCCTCGCTCAGACTGCTGTGGAAACATCAGCTGCTATGACTCGGTGCTGGAAACACTGAAGACCTGCCCAGACATTGTCTTTGAGTTTTTGAAAGTGGTCGCTGGGTGCCCCTCCATCCGAGCCTGTCCAACCTGTGGCTCGCTGCTGGAGCATCAAGGAACTGGTTGTAAAAACACAATCTGTTCTCCGTGCAAAGTCAGCTTCTGTTTTATTTGTCTGAAGACATCTGCTGTATGTTTACAAACAAGTAAGTTTTCAGGACTGTGCTCTGGTGTCGCCCCCCAGACAGACCTCTGTAACTGTGTGGAAGAAATTATGCTTTCATTAACAGGCCTGCTCATACAGTTTAATTCAGAAAGTGCTTATCAAGTTAATCAAAGAAGACCTCCTGACTCCTTGGACTGAAATTACATCTTTGCAAAAACATCTAACTTAGGGATGGGCAACTCGTGGCTCGCAGGCCAGATCCGGCCCACAGAAGACTTCTGTCTGGCCCACTGATTGGCCCCGCCCCTACACAAAATAAACAATAACAAGAAAACAAACAAGAAAATATACATGTGTGTACAATCAGACACCACTCTTAGCAGAAGAACCACTCTTTCCACAGAACAACTGTGTCAACTTCTGAAACTGTGCCTGGAATCAACCTATTTCACATATGGGGAGCAATACTATAGGTAGAAACGGGTGTGCTACGGGCTCCCTAGTCTCCCCTATTGTTGCAAACCTGTACATGGAGGAGGTGGAAAAGAGAGCTTTGATGTCCTTTACAGGTTACTGTTCAAAAGAATGAGCCAGCACAGACTAGCTACATCGTCGGGTCAGGACTCTGCAGTTTACACTCATCTACAGGCCAGCGGTCACTCTTTTAGGGATGAAGAGATGTTTTCATCCTTGATAGAGAGGAACGGTTTGAGAGAGGAGTAAAGGGGGCCATCTTTGTGAAGAAAAACCGTCCAACATTAAACAGAGGTGGAAGCCTTCGTGTCCAGTTATCCTCCTCCTACAATGCTGCTATTGCCAGTATGACTCAGCCCCCTGTGAGCAAAAGGTGTGAATCAGGGCCCCAATGATACCAACACAAAGAGGGAAAAAACAAAAACAAGGGGACGTTGAGCCCCGCCTTCATTCACTACATGCACATGACACAACACCTAATGGTGCGTTCACACCAAATGCGATTTCAGCGTCAGGATCCTCAGGTTTACATGCAAAGTCTATGGTGGACGCACTTCAATCAGCGTCGGGAAGTTCTGCGGCGCCTCAAGCGCGATTAGAGCAGCGCGATTTGAACGATTTGAACGATCTGAGCATTCAATGTGCTTGATGCGCAAATCGCTGAAGTTAGAAAATCTGAACTTTTGCAGCTCGACACGT